TGTATAGATGTCTGTTCATTTTATAATACGAAGAACCATTGCGCAAAAGTAGAAAAAATACACAAAGTATACCACACAGCAGACAATAATGAAGAAATATTGTTAACGAATTAGTTTGCCTATTTTTTAAGAGCTTGTTCACTTTCTCTCTCTCTTTCTGTCTGTCTTTTCTTTGTTAAAATTCAATCCATACTGTGCTATGATCAATGCTTTGGAATACAATTACCATAGCATTGAAGGTTATAAGTCCACTTGTGTAGCTTTATCATGACGCCAAGCTATATAGATGTCAGGGAATTTCTAATATGAAGAATCATTGCAAAAAAAGTTAATGAAAACACATACATAAAGTGTATCACATAGCAGAAAATAACAATAGGAAATAATCTTAATAAATTAGTTTGATTTTTTTCCCTCTGTCTTTTGTTTGTGCAGATTCAACCCATACTGTGCTATAATTAGTTTTTTTTTTATTTGGGCAACAGTATATTTAAGTGCTATATATAAATAATCAAGCTCTAGATATTTTAATATAATGAATCATTGCACAAAAGTGGAGGAAAAAATACTTAAAGTGCAACGCAGATCAAGAAAATAATGAGTTAATAAGAAATGCTGGTATAATGAATTTGTTCAAAATTTTCCCAAGTGGTTTGTTCCCTTTTTGTCTTTTCTTTGTGCAGAATCAATCCATACCACAATCCATCACTGTGATCAATGTTTTAGCATTTAATTATTATGCCATTGAATGTTATAAGTCTATTTGTGTGCTATATATAAACATAATGGCTCTATTATGGAGTCAAGCTATGCCTGGTGATTTTCTAATATGAAGAATCATTGCACAAAATATATAAAGTTTTTCTTTGTTTCTATGATTAATGTTTGAGCATTCTCTTATCATTTTATTGAAAGTTCTAAGTTATATTTATTTATAGTTATATATAAGTTATATATATTTGGGTGCCGTATACAAACATAATAGCTCTATTATTGAATCAAGCTATGTACAGTTGAAGTCAGAATTATTTGGCCTCCTTTGAATTTTTCTTTCTTTTTTAAATATTTCTCAAATGATGTTTAACAGAGCAAGGAAATTTTCACAATATGTCAGATTTTTTCTTCTGGAGAAAGACTTATTTGTTTTATTTCGGCTAGAATAAATGCGACAAAACTATTAGCCCCTTTAAGCTATTTTTTTCCCATAGTCTACAAAACAAACCATCATTATACAGTACAATGACTTGCCTAATTACCCTAACCTGCCTAGTAAACCTAATTAACCTAGTTAAGCCTTTAAATGTCACTTTAAGCCGCATAGAAGTGTCTTAAAAAAATATCTAATAAAATATTATTTACTGTCATCATGGCAAAGACAAAACAAATCAGTTATTAGAAATGAGTTATTAAAACTGTTATGTTTAGAAATGTGTTGAAAAAAATCTTCCCTCCGTTAAACAGAAACTGGGGGAAAATAAACAGGGGGGCTAATAATTCTGACTTCAACTGTATTTTAAAATGCAAACATCATTGCACTAAAATACAGAAAAAATATTATATATTAAGTATACTAGATACAATGCTAAATAGTGGATTACAAAGAATTATCTGTAATTATTTAATTTGTCTATTGTTTTACCAGGATTGTTCCTCCTTTGTCTTTTTATTGTGCAAATTCAATATATCAGAGCCTTTGTTTCTGACGGTTTATTATACAAAGTGATGTCATTCGCCTGTTTGATTGTGTTTCTTTTTGAGGGTCCACTTAGAACATCAAGGCACAGTTTGACCCCAGCATGTCGCTACACGTCACACGATCTGGAACAAAACATTGTGTGAAGAAAGCCATGTCCTCTTTGTGTGGTCTGGTGTCGTGCCAAGTGTTGACAATTCTAGAAATGGCACTATTTCCTGCTGGGGCTTGAGGTTCACTTCTTCTGTAGACATTTTCACAGTTGTTATCAGGTTAGCTTTAAAAAGCATCATTGTGATAAATCACTCAATTAGATCATTTCCAATATGCTATGTTGCTTAATAAGAATAAAACCTTTTAGAAATTTGGAGTAGTCCATATATGGATTCTGTTAATCAAGTGCCAAAAGTTAGACGAATCATCACCTTAGTAGATTTGTAGGTTCTATCTTCTATCTGACATTTTTGTCTAAATTGATTTATTGACATATTCTTAATAAATGACAACTTATTTACATTAAAGGATGTTTTTTATCAGTTGTTTACATTTTAAGACGTTTTATTTAAAACACAAATATGACACACATTCTGTTTGCTATGGAATGCAAAACTTTTAAGCTTAATATCTCAAAATCATTCAGAACGCAGATAGAACCTTAAAATTCCAAGGGGAGGACATATTTATGCTTTAATAAAAAAAGACAAAAACCCATGTATGTATACCCTCTTCATTTAATAACAGAGCATTGGCTATATGAGGTCTTTAAAATAGGGGAAGGTTCTTTGGAAAAATTGTTTCACATTTCGCATATTTGTAATCAAAAAATAAATAAATAAATGAAAAAAAAGTTTTTGACTTGGATATTAATCAAGCAATTTCTGTTATTTCTGGCATTTCCCATGTTTTTTGCTATTAGAATTATATGTGTAAAGTATTTAAGTGATATAAAACCATTGAGTATCAATATATAAATTTTCTGCCGAGTGCAGTCACTTTAATCTGCAACCAAGCATTGAAATCAACAAACAGTGTAAACATTCAAAACGTAAATTATTATTGGATATATTTTAAATACAGTGTTTGTTTTTGTCGTAGAAACAGTATCGTTAAGCAGAAAATATTTAAGGGATTATATAGGAAACACCCAATGTACTTCAGTAAATATTGAGGGTCAGAGACAGACTGTATAAATATCTTCTGATGCATTTTTAATGTTTGCTGATGAGGCAATTTCGGATTAGCCTATATGTAGATTGTTTCATGGAAGTTTGCGTGTATTGAAGAAAGCATTATTAGTTTTATGGCCCACTTTTCATCATAATACCATTCAGAGACCAAATGAGATGAATAAAAAAAGAGGCGTTGTTAACCTTGTTGATTTGCTCTGTGTATTTGTTTACTTTTTATTGTTTTAATTGTCCGCTTTGACTTGTGCGTCTCGGTCAAAAGCGATTATTTCCGCTTCCAGGAGGGCATCCAAAATTTCCCCTTACCAAAAACTATCCGCGCTTTAATTACTTTATTAATTAAATTAAAGAGGAGACTGAAACGCCACGTTTTGTAATCCTATCACGTAAAGGAGGCATGGGTGGAGCAATGGTGGTAACCGAAAAATGGAAACCTCTTTAAACAATTGTTTGCTCTTTAATGGGCTCTATGCACGGCGGCGCGTGACGCATTTCCGGTAAAATTTAAGACCCCGAGCCTACTTCCGCCGATCGTACAGTACAGTACTACAACAGGACCGCTACTGATAAAAACGAGTAATGTTTTGGACAGTTGTCTTAATGTTTTATGCCATTATAGCCCACTTATATGTTTATGTCAGCTACATAAATATGACATCTAAACGTTTACAAGTGTCATTTCAAAGACGTGAGAACAGTACTTGTAGATACCACTGCTGTGTTCAGCAATGCACAGCGTCAAAAATTGAACTCTTACCTTAGTTTCCACTCGTTTCCAAAAGACAAAGTCGTGCAGAAGAGGTGGGTTGTTGATATTAAACGTGAGAATTTTACAGAAACAGAAAAAAACAAGAGTGTAGTTGACAATTTCAGTCTAGCAAACTGATCGAGGCTTGAGTGCCAACCGGATGCAGACATTTAAAGAAAGGAGCTTTTATGGCAAATAATAGTTTGTTTTCATTGCCTTTGAAGTAAAAAAAAAACTGAACATTAATATACATAAACATTTCTTAAGCTACTTTCTAAGTGCAATTTTTTAATTCAGAATAAAGACCTTTATTTTATTCACTGTACATATAAAATATAATTCACTGTATATAATTTGAAATAAAAATTGTCAAAAAAATGTAACATTTTGAAAAAAAATATTTTATTCAGATAAACAGAAACTTTAGCCCCTTTCACACATACAGACCTTTCCGGAAAATTACCGGCAATTTTCCGGAAAGGTTGTATGTGTGAACAGGTCCTTTTTGAAAAACCGGTAAATTCGTTCTGGCTATTTTCCGGAAAGAGAAGTTGTAACATTACCAGCAATTTGCCGGAATGCTGCGCTGTGTGAATGCAGAAGGAAGATTCCCGTAATAAGCGCGTGCACGTCTAGAACGTGCTGACGTGAGACGTCTGCTTTAGCCAATCACAACAGTCAGACGCATTCACGTGCGCGCGGTTTGTGAGAATAAAAGCCTTTGAATATTTTTCCAGACACATTTAGCTGCTAGAAGTTAGTCAGATCACGTTTATATGTTCTTCTTAATGCCAACTGTGTAAATAATCATCGACGAGATGCTTATGATAAGCCGTTGTTTGTTTACCTTCAAGCTTTGCGTGCGCCTATGAGCGCCTGCACACGTAGTTACATATTATGAACATCTCGACATGCGAAAGTGATCCTGCGAAAGTTGTTCACAATATTGATCATCCACAGAGTTTGTGATGTAGTCAAATGTTTACAAACACATGCGCAGCCGTTTAAAGCTCATTTGTGGTGAATGATGTCAGAATTTACCGGTATTTTCTAATGGATGTGTGAATGCTCTTTTCCGAAAAATTTCCGTAACGTCCTCGCCTGTGTGAACAGCGCTTTTTTGAATATACCGGTAAAGTCGTTCCGGAAATTTTCCAGATATTTACCGGTATCACTGTGTGAAAGGGGCTAATGACATTGAATCAGTTGTTTTCTTGAATCAGGTGCTTTTTCTGTAACTTGTGCATAGAGAGGTATTTGGGCTGATGCGTATTAAATAAATAAATAAATCACCCCTCTGTTTCATAGAACTTAACACATAATTGATCCATTCCAAACAATTGTTCATGTGACAACACACATTACACATTTCAGAGTAATGGGCTGTCTGGAAAAGCAAAGCAACCAAATGTTTGCATATCCCACTCTCAGCCACACAAGAGCAGGAGCTATTAACTAGCAGACGATGGCATGGATCTTCTGACGGATGTCCGCTCCAGGATGAAGTAACATATAAAATTTTCTAGCTCTGAATCTCATAATGTTACCTAGAAAACAGAAACAAGAATATTAATAGGTTTTTAAAGAGTCATTAAAGGCAGATCACTCAAAACTGAAAATTCTATTTCCTCATCCTTCACTTGTTCCAAACCTGTTTTGAGTTTCTTTCTGATGTTTAACACAAACAAAAATACTTTGAAGAAAGCAGGAAACTTGCAACCACTGATATACATAGTAGTTCTTTTTCCTACTATGGAAGTCGATGGTTACAGGTTTTCAGCTTTCTTCAAAATATCTTCTTTTGAAAGGCATCTGCAGCAATATCATCAGATTAAACTACACAGTAAATCATTAATTTAAATTATTTAAAAGTAGCTCCTTTTAGTCACACTTTAAAATAAGGTTTCATTGGTTAATGTATTTACTCACTATTAAAATAACTATTTAATATTTAATAGTTAGCATTGTTAAACTAATTTACTAATGAATAAAAATCCAAAGTCATGCTTGTTAACATTAGCTATTACATTGTGAGATAACAAGCACAATGAATAAGCATTTGTTCATTAACATAAAAAACTAATAAATATTGCAATAGACAAATTGTTGATGTGAAATTAACTAATGACACCTATTGTTTTGGGTCACCCTCCCATTTAATTGCAATGTTATAGACTAATTAGAAAGCATGCTATCTACACTGTTACACTGCATCTGTCATCTCCACTGTTTCAGCAAAAAAATCTCAGCATTGATACAGTGCTATTTGTCTGTTGTGGATGGAACGGCATTGTATTATTTTATTCCTAATATATCTTGCTCAATAATCATGCTTACAAGCTAAGACAGCATCTGTGTTTCTGTAATTATCCGAACTGAACAGTGGTGGTCACTTTAGAACAGTAAAAGTATGAATGGGACAGTTTCACATGTATGCTGTCCTACGTTACTCTCAGCTGGTGAGGAGACACCGATTTCTTCATAGATCTATCGGTAGTAATGAGCTCTCACTGAGATCTTATTCCTGCCCTGTTTTTACCTCACACTTTGAGACAGAATTACGTACACATATGATTATTTTACTTACGTGATAAAGCTGCAGATGGACGGATTGTAAGAGTATTAACGCTAAAGTTAGCTTTCAGGCTAGCTGAACTTACCTTCATAATTGCACAGGTAGGAAGATGCATAAAACTTGAAACCTTTCTCAAGCTTTGCTCTGCGGTGTTGTAGAGCACATCGGGACAAGCATTTGCACATCGTTGACCATAATTTACTCGCAAACAGCGAGTAAATATTGACGACTCTGCCATAATACTGTTTACCTCCGCTTAAAATCACCCAGACCGGAAGCTGGACCGCGGCCTTAGACAAAACGCGGAAGTAATGCGTGCATATAGCCCATAAGTATACTAAAAAGCAACTTATATTTGCTTAGAGCACAAAAAGATATTTGCTTAGACCACAAATGTATTTTCGACCATATTTTTCTTTTAATCTTTTATGGTAACAGTGTAATTGTTATTTAAATAAATAACGCCTTAAATTGCTTGTTTGCTATTTATGTAAATTGTATGATTTATACTACTGCTAACATTTTTGGTCAGAAATTTGAGACTTTTTTCTTTTCTTTTACAGCTATAGGCTAGTGATTAAACAATAACTGTAGAATTATTACTGTATACATTTAAATAACAACAATAGTATTATTACTATTAACAATAATAATAATAATAATAATAATAATAATGATACACCTTTTACAGTAGCTATTACCAGTAGTAATAATACCAACAATAGTTTTATTATTATTATTAATATTATTATTATTATAAATCATATCATTACAACTGCTTTGTAAAATTATATAAGGTTAATAAACTAGTTAATAAACAATGAGCTGGTTAATAGACTTTAAACGCCTATTGATTTTGTTTTGTTTTTTAGGATCAAAATAAACGTCAGCGGAAAGCTGTTCATTGTAATTGAACTAATATGCTAAAAAACAATTCACAGAACTATTTTGTTGCACTTGATGTCCTAAAAATGCTGCCATGTGCTTGACCAACGTGAATATAAACTGCGGAGATACATTCTATTATTTTAAAGCCTAAGCTGTTATTCATTCAATGGATGAATGGAAAAGGAAGCTATGTGGTCCCAAGTGTTAAAGGAGCTGATATGAAGCGAGAAAGGGGAAGAGAGACTGGACGTTGATGTAAGTTTATGTAGGACAAGTTTGGCCTTTGATCCTGGAGCGGAGAGTCGTGTGTAGCGATGCGGTAACATCGCCTCAGGTCACCGGGACAACAGCCACCTGCACAGGGACACTGGCGGAGCTTTAGAAGCCCCCAAAGAACATCTCGCCCACATGTCCTCAAAACACAGCGCCGCTTTATAATGGTTTTATTTATATATTGCAAATGAATTAGACTTTCCGTCACGCGGGAAAATAGCGTAATTAAATAATTGACCTCTGGGCCAAAATTATCTGAAACAAGCCACGGGCCACTCCGAATTAAATTAATAAGGTCTAAAGCTTCATTCATTATTCTGCCTTTAGCCCTCTATCAATGGAACATGGCTTTATGAGGCGCGATTAAATGAGCTACATTTGTTGTTTCCAGAGAAGAGGTCAGAGAGTGGCGAACGGCGCGTCTCCCGCATTGTTCGGCGCTCAATGGTGTCTGTGTCGCCCATGAACCTCGAGACCTCAAATCATCGCCTGTCAGCATCCAGCGCGTGCGTTCACGTGCATTGTTGGGGTTACGGTGAAGAAATAATGCAAAAAAAAAAAAAAAAAAAAAAAAAAAAACTCTCCGCAGAAGTCTTTTGGGATCAAAAGGTGTTTTAAAAAAGTCAAACTAGGAAACCCCAAAGCTTTATCAGATTAGCCTAAGACGGATACGTTTGTTTTATTCTGCACTGAGGTATAGCCTAACACTATTAGATAAAGATACTGGCTTATTAAGTAACAATAAAATACTTCTGGCATGATTTTTTTTTTATTAGAAATTACAACTGAAATTAATATTGTGACTAAAAACAAATTCAACTAAGCTAACGTAATACAACAATGCATATTTGTATGATTAATTAACTTTAACAAAGATTATATACTGTAACAAATGTGGTGCTCTTTGTTAATTATTGCTCTAATAGAGAGTTTAAAAAGTTTTAATATAGATCCTATAACTGGCTATTAACATCCGCTATATAACATCATTACACCTGCATGCCTGCCAACAACGCGAATGCACATTTGTTGATGTACATTTTCACTTTTACTTTTCATGCATATTCCTTCCTATTTTTTTATTAAAAACAATTAAAGCATTTTATTTTAGCCAATAACAAAATTAAATCATCAATAAAAACCATAAATGCATTTTCATAATTACTTTTACGTTTTTTTTTAATTAAAAAGTTGCCACACCTAATTGATCTAATTAAATTAAAAACAATTTAAATGTATTTATGTGTTTATTTATATAATTAGCATTTTACGGATCTTAATGAATACTTGATTTTCTTTAAACAAAAAATGATTTATTTAAACTCCTAATAAAGAGTTATTTGACCTAAAATAAACTAATTTGCCATTTGGATTTACCTAGCGTTTATTTATTTATCTTTTTTTATTTTATTGAACCAGTCTACACTCTAAAATATTCTGGGTTGTTTCAACCCAGATATTAACAAGCCAAACTATTGGGTTAAATTTTGCGATGATTTGAAATTTAAATATTAACCCAAGGCTACCCAGATCTGACCCAAATTTCTGTTGTTGCAAACCAGGGTTATTAGTGTAAATTTTATGTTCTTAATTTTACTTATTCCCAAACCACAAATCCACTGACACGCTTAAAGATGTCAGCTTGAGAGAAAAAGACAGAGGAGGAAAAAGTTAGTTAGCCTATGTTATCCAAATGATCTGGATATACGCAACCACGCCATGCACGCTGTCTGAAGAAGGGCAGCGAGTGTGGCCTATACACGTTTGTGAGTGAAAGAGAGAGAGGAGAAGAAAGAGAGAGAGGGAGAGAGAGAGAGAGAAAGAGGAAGAAAGAGGGCATGAGCGCGCGGCTCTTTCTTGACTTTGCCCCATAATCGTTTCACGCTTCCTTCAGAGTCTCTTTTCCACCTAAAACGTTTAGTCTCACTCCAGTGAACAATTGCAACGGCGCAACAGGGAGCGGAAGAGTCACATTATTTCAAACTACCATTCGTCAAAACCACTGTTACAAAAAAGAGCAGAGAGAGCAGCAACAGAGGATATAGGAGAGGGAACTTTTGTGTTCTCACCCCCCCGCTCATCCCTCTGTCCAACCTCTAGCCACGGCATGGACTTGGACCAAAAGGGTCCATCTCTGCGCATCGGACGGTCGGGTAGGGCCTTATCTGTTTCTCCATTTTACTTGATCTAGCCTACTATTGCTTGTTCAAAGAAGTATAAAAATGTCTTTTTTTTTACAAAGCTGTACTAACACGCCGTTTGTTAACACTAACATTTGTACACTTGCTACACGTGCAGATGTCCTTTTTTAAACGGCTTGATTGTTTATTTAGTTTTTAGTTGATATGAATGTTGGTGGCAATTTTAACACGAAAACCTTGTACAACACATTCAAGTGGGCCTGGAAAATCTGGCTTACATTTTGGCCACACCTTTGCTGATTGTGTGATTTTGACAGAAACGTGGTTTGAGCTTGATGTGCTGGGTTTGGGCCTATTTGTCCGGCAAATCACAGTCCAAATCAACATGAAATACAACAGTAATGAAAAGCAGGCGTAAGATGAGTTAAAACAATGACGATTCCTGTCACACAAGGAGGTTCTTGAAACAGAGTTTTAATTCTGCAAGTTTTTGTTGAGGATCAAGTAGGCCTATTGTGTTGTCTTCTCAGGTCCAAAAACAAATATGCATGTTTTTGGAAACATCTCTCGCTTGCGTGTTACATGTAACTCACAATGAAATGGCTCGTTCAGATGAAAATAATAAGCTATAGGCTACATGTCAATGTTGGTATTTGTACTTTGCAAAATATCATAGGCTATTGAGTGTTGACATGACAAAACTAGCTTAAAGGCACATATAGGCCTACGTTGCTTTATAGCATTATAAGAAAGCTTGTGCTTTAAATGCTGTCAACTAGCCTAGGCCTTAAGTTGGATTTAAACAGGCCAGTTTAAACCACAAAGTTGCTTCTCAAATTTGTGTGCCCGGTGGTTTTTATAAGTAGGCTATACAATTATTTTTATTGTTGGCACACATCATGTTTGTGTGTCAAATATAAACAGACCTAACTGATGGAGTAGCTAACCCTAAGTTCAAACATCTGAGGAGACAGTTAATCTTCGAAAAGTCAGTAGTTTGGTGCTATTTTGTGCCCTGGTTTCACACACAATTGGAAATGATTTAATTTTGAATTTATGAACAAACGCAATCTTTCACTTCTTAAAAACACGACTGACGAGATTTTCTGATATAATTAATTTGACTGACTAGCTAACCCTTGACTTTGGCCATGAATTATTCTTAATTATTTAAAATTGTGGACTTGTAAACAATTCATAGTTAGAAGCCTGATTAACTGTTTAGACTCCTTGAAACACTTTTATTATTTGTATATTTTTTCACCATTTCATATTATTATTAGGCTATAATAATAATAATAATAATAATAATAATAATAATAATAATAATAATAATAATAATAATAATAATTATTATTATTATTATTATTATTATTGTTGTTAATAACGATAATAATAATAATAATAATAATAATAATAATAATAATAATAATAATAATTTTCCCAATGAAAGTTTAAGTTGGTGGATAATTCCGCTGTGGTGACCCCCAGAACAATAAAGGGACTAAGCCAAAAAGAAAATAAATGAATTAATGAATAATAATAATACTAATAATTTATTATTATTGTTACTTTTATGTTATAAGATGACGCGAATAATCCTAAATAGCACAACTCCTAAATCATTATTATCTCAATTGTAGCTTTATTTGGCCGTTCATACATTCTGTAATTGGTTATGCTAATTTTTTAAACTGAAAATAACTTTTTTCCCCAAATTTTCCAAGCTAGAATTAGAAGCAACCTAGCTGTTTACAACATATTTGTGTTTAATTTGCTAACAAAAACTGTATTTAAAGAAACCATTATAAGAAAATAATTCCTCCAATAAAAAAAAGACTGATTATTAAACATTTCATCACGTGAGCCAGAGTTGAACTGGGGGAAATAATAAGAGGCTCCCAAAAAAGGCAGAAAAATTAGGCCTAAAATAATTCAGTGTAGGCTACTTGAAATATTTACATAGTTTGAATCTTTAAATCACCATAATATAATTTTTTTTTGGAGGCCGCGTTTGAATCTAAATGCAAGAATCAATTGAAAATAAATAAATAAAACTAAAAAAAATGTGCATAAAAAGCCCCCATAATTGTTAAGTAAAACAAACTGACCAACATATATTACACATCTAACAGAATAAGACGGAATACAAAACGAAAACATTTGTTTAACATTGCAACGTCTATCATTAGTTGTGCGCGTAGGCTATGCAAAAGTGCGCACGTATGTGTGTGTGTGTGTGTGTGTGTGTGTGTGTGTGTGTGTGTGTGTGTGTGTGTGTGTGTGTGTTTGCGTGCGCGTATGATGAGCTTCTTCACACGAGACCAAGGGTTCGCCCCCTCGTGGCACAAACGGCTCACCGCGGATGAATCTTTCTTTAAAGACACTCGGAGAAAAAGACTAAAATATTGCGTTAAGCACATGAATGGTGAACCTGAATCACATAGTTGCAGTGACGTAAAGGTCATATTTCTTACCACACAGCAAATTACCGACACATATAAAAGATAGTTGTGTCACTGGTTTCTAAGCAAAGCAATTCAGAATCGCATGCTTGAAAATCTATCCCAAAACTAAGAAGAAAAAAATCACATTTTTATAGAGTTAATATTTGTGTGCTCTTTTGAAGACTTACACAAAACAACACGTAAAAAAATGAGAGCCATTATTAGCCATATTAGCCATTATTAGCCATAATGAGAGCTGTATAATTTTAGAAATTTGTGTTTTATTTTGTATAATGTTTTGCTTCATAGAAATGTATGTTTATATAAATTAGTAAAAGCACAAAAATATTAAAATATATACTAGTAATCCATCGATAAATCATTTAATAAGTGCTGAAATGTAAAATAGTTAAATTAACTAACTAATTAATTAATTAATTAAGTAACTGTAAATAAATAAATAAATAAAATCAATAAAGTTAGTAAGCATTAATGTTCATAAACTCCTTTTTTTGTTTTAAATAATATTGTAATGTCTGTTTTTATACTACAAAATAAAATAATTATAACGACTCTTATTTAAAAACAAACCACAGTTATTAAGTCAGCTAAACTTTATCTGACTTAATATCAAGTTCTTAATAATCTGTTTGATAGTCTGTTAATGAAAAATTGGGCTATTAGGCAAGAAAATGTGCAAAAGTAAAACAGTTCTAGTGTCCGTCAAAGCAACGAAGAGGAAGAAAACATAGAAACATAAAAAAATCCCTCATAATCTCTCATGAAAACTAATCAGAGCATTTTACTTAATGCACAATAATCAAACTTTCTATATTCGTTTAGCCTACTAAATTAACACGTTTTTCTCTCGTGGACAATTCTAAACAGCAGTCATAATTGCACGTGCAAGTGCGATATTATTTGTTGAATTTATTTCTAATTATGTTGACATACAACAGTCGAAAAGATTTGTTAATTTATATTATAGCCTGTATATTGTTTTATATGCATATATGTCTCAGGGAAATGTTGCAATATGTCAGTCTCATGATTTTTGCAGTGTTTTTACAATTAATTATATGGCCAGGATTATTCGTTTAACTGAAAACATGTTCTGTCGCATAACTAATTGTTAACTGTTTATTAATTGGACTTCTAAAAATACTGCAAACGGATATTTTAAAATTTCAATTTTACCCCGTTCCTTAATTGAAATTAGACATGGGATTAGCGACGCCAGAGAACCAACTTCTATCCGAGACTCCCTATTTGTCAGTGCACAATTGGGACAGCACGTCACTTTCATATTGGCTCAGTGATAGCCAATCGGCGTCGTCTTTATCTGAGCGCGACTCAGGGCGATTGTGACGGCAGAGGTGCAGTGCTCGGATAGGTAGACGTCTGTTGATTGACAGTCTCGCTCGGACTCGGTAGTAGATTCAGTGTGCTGTGGCTTTGGCGCTGTCCACACGAGAGCAGGTTCTGAAACGCGCCGTGCGCTCGTGCAGTGTTTGCGCGGTTAAGACGGAGGCTCGACCACTGCTTCTCGCCGCCGGAGCGCTCACACTGAAAGAAGAACACCGTTCGGCGGACGGCAGCTTGGGCGAAAAAGACAAATTATACCACCGTATCATCCATCTGAGACTTTACTTGGATTTTTACGCACTTCCCGACTGCTTCAAAACTTGACAAAGCCTTTTTCCTTCGTTTCTTGGACATTTTCCTCAAGTTCAAATGCTTCGCACAATGGCTATTTTTTATTTTATATTCAACTTCGGAAAACGTGTTAATTCGGGGTTCACATCATGTACTTTTTAATTTCACCTGTACGTATGTCTTTTGTTTGGGGACCATCGTGCAGTCGGAGTTGCATATTTCACTTTTCAAAAAAGAGACGCGCTTTGAGCAATTAAAATATAAAGATGCAAGCAAATCGAGCTTATGTGAAGATACGCTGAACATGAAGTAAATGTTTTGGTTTCTCAGAAACCTCACCAGGATTTTACAGATCCCTGGCAGAGACGCGCTCTGACAGCGCGAACCTCGGTCACAGTTCACGGGTCACGGTCAGTGGAGCTAGGATGTCAAGATAGAGCTTGGGAACGAGACTTCTACATTTTTTATCTAAAGCTTAAGAAGACTGATCGGAATAATATTAAAATTCCTACATATCCAGGACTTTTTTTTCTTTTTGATTAATCTTCTCTGATGTCTGAGTTAGTTGAGATTGGATGTAGGGCCGCAAAAGCAATTGTGTGACCCTAAAGGGTTGTGCCCAGGCCGCCTATTTACATTGTTTGTTGGCTAATTAATGATGGATAAGATCACAAATTATTTATGAATTTTCTTTTTTCTTTCCACCTGGAAAATCAAGAAAACTTTTTACATAATTCCTTCAACTGATGACCTTAGGCCTTAAGGTTCATTTTTTATTTGTTTACCAAAGTTTCTTTGGACTCCCAAACAGTTAAAACTGTTTAAAAGAAACAAGGACAGACTGACTACAAACGCACAACCCTTTAAAAGAACAAGTACAGGACAATAAAGACTTTTTTGTGTTTTTTCTTCTTCGCGAGAAGGCCTGTTTTAAAACACGATGGAAATCCACTGCAAACACGACCCTTTCGCAGCAATGCACAGTAAGTTCCCAGCTTATAGAATTTAACTTTCTTTGATCTGTCATATGTTTGATCTCGATCTAACTTGTCAGAATTTGTTTTAAAGAACTAGAAAAACCAAAACACGCGGATTAAATTTAGCTAATGAAAGCTAAGCAGTGTGTTATAGCCCAATTGATTAAAAAACTTTAAAGATGCAACTAATGAATGCTATAGGGCCAATAGTTTTAATCATGTCTTTAATACAGGTGAAGTTTGCTTTTTGTGCCAGCTTTTTTGCTAGATTTCTCTTAACCCAGAACCCGGTTGCTTTGTTAGAGCTTTAGCCTTCTGTTTGACAATCCCTTGGGGGAAGAGAGGGGGAAGAGATCGCGGCCAAGGCCAGCAGCCAGCGGACACAAACTGAACTTGAACCGCAGCTGAGGATATGGCAAACAGGCGCCTTACGCTTTAAATACATTGCTTTAGGGTGGCTGTAAACAGGCCACTTGTGAGGGTAAAAACGATAGCCGAAGTTGCTCACTGTGGCGGAGAGATGTGTGGTCACTCATTCGTGACATGGCGGACACCGGTGGTCCCCCAAGATACCAGCGTTGAGGGCCCCTTGTCTCTTTCTCTCTTTATTTCTTATTGTAGTTGCCGCCAACACACACTCAATAATCTTCAACCCATTTTACTTTATGATTTATAATTTTTTAATTGATTTATCAATTTTTGAATTGATTATTGTGAATAATCATCAGTTATTTAAAACAAAAAGTAGCATACATATATTTAATTTATTTTAGACGAAACAAAAAATGTAAAAACTGCAAAATATCTTTGTTATTATAGGGTATAAGAGCTGCAATATTTTACACCCTGAACATGCAATTGTGATCTCTCTCTCCCTTTCTCTCTTTCTCTCCCCCATACCCCCTGTCCCTCACACACACATTCTTTCATTCTTTATTTCTTTCTCTCCCAGTCTTCTCTCTCGCCGATGAATAAAACCTCATACAACAAGCCACGCTAAAAACTCAAATATGCGCGCACCCACCCACTGAACACGCACACGCACATCTATGTGAAATGACATCTATTGGCACGGTGAATGAAACGGTGGATTAGATGTATACACATTTCAGACGCTAGAACGAATCACGTTTCCTCTCCGCCACAATATCTCAACACAATCCGTGGGGTAAAACGATTACACCGAAAATGTCAAACGGTGCAAGCTTTAAGAATTGACTGTGACATGAACCTGCAAGACTTTTAGGAAGGAAACTCCACTGATGCTGCAAAGGGAGAGAGAAGGAGAGCAAGAGATAATTTTTAAAACTATATCTTTCTCATGAATATTAATAAGAAATTGCTTTTTTTATTGTTTTTTATTTTTATTCACAAAAAGTGCAAGGTAACACTCCGTGTGATGCAGCAAATTAGATGTTGTTAAGCCACCAGTTGGTCTTAAACAATGGATAAAGCCTTAAACTAAGCGGAGACAAACGATTATTACAGATTCTTATGCTTGTTTTATGTATTTTTAAGATATTTCTAACACTGTTTTATCTGTTCTTTTAAAACTGTAAACTCGTGAATTTTTTATTGTCTATAAAAAAAAAAAACAATTCTTAAGTTCATGCCACAAGAAAAAAAAACGATATTTTTGCGGAAAAGTTAGGGGAAAAAATCACTTTTTTTTGTTTCTGTGCTCTAATTTTAGTTGCTTGGGTGTTTAATGTCGCCTGTTAAAACGTATTTTGAATAATACATTTTATGCAAATTAGGCTACAATGGCTTATAATAATAACCTAATAATAATAATAATAATAATAATAATCAAGGATTATCAGCGGTGTATTATTTACAAATATAAACCTATTATAGGTAATATGATCAATTTAAATATGCTATATGACGAAATAATCATGTCATAAATACACTATGATACATAGCTATAACAGTTTATTTTATTTTTATAACTTTAAATTAGTTTTAAATTCTGCAATCTTAAATACTTTTCTATATTTACGTGGCGATTTCATAATGACATTGCCACAATATTCTTTCATTTTCTTTTCGGCTTAGTCCCTATATTAATCTGGGATTGCCACAGCGGAATGAACCGCCAACTTATTCAGCATACGTTTTACGCAGCGGATGCTCTTCCAGCTGCAACCCATCACTGGGAAACATTGCCACAATAGTTTAACGTAATTTAAAATAAACAAACAAATAAATAAATAAATAAATAAATAAATAAAAGATCATTCTTTTTAAATCCAATAGGCTATCTGTGATTTAATTTTTTTATTTTTCAATTTCATTTCAAAATCATTGCATAAGACCAGCACGAGTGAAGGTATAGTCTCTTACTCGTTTCTTCCCCCCGGCGAGTCTGTTTGTTAAAGCACGCCTGATGTCACGTCGCTTTGCTGGCGTTTGGTTCGCTGTGTTTTGAGCGGTTTAATCGGAGCGGCCGATAGCGGATCGTAATGGAGCAGCGTCTCTAATCGGGTTTATTTTCTGGATGGGGGAGCATGAATGTCTTTCAGCCGCTCTCGCTATTTCTAAACGGAACCTGCCTCGAAATCAATCAAAGCTCTAGGAACACTTCGATTTATAAGCCAGCCGTATTTGCAGAAGAAAACGGAGGAAAAAGGCTCGCTCAGATCACATCTGAATAGCTTGTCTCGTTTAATCCCTGCTGCAGCCTTTTCTCTTTCCACGGCACCAACTTATATTCAAACAAACCCATACTCGTAATACTCTTTCAAACTCAGACTCATGCTTGCTGGGTAGACTGTATTCATATGTTGTGCAAAACTTTTAACCACAACTGCTAACTTAAAAATGTGTTGGAGATAATCTGATCTAAAACTTTATAAGGCCTTATTAAGATACTGTATGTATATATATATATATATATATATATATATATATATATATATATATATATATATATATATATATATATATATATATATATATATATATATATATAAAATCTGAATGAGAATTTTATAGTTATACTCATTTTTCAGATGTGTTTGTTCATTGATGCATGTGTTTCTTTTGAAGTTGGTTTAGATAAAAATTGAACATAGCCTTTATTGGCATTGATGATTCCACAAAGAACCTTTTATGAAAACTTTCCAATCCACAAAATAAGAAAGAAACGGTTCTTTTTGTTAATAAAGTGTTCACACAAAAATAGCTAAATAGTTCTTTTAAGAACTGCTGACTGAAAAGTTTGTTGGGGGAACCAAAATGGTTATTCATTTAAAAATAAAGGTTTCTTTAATGGCAATGACGAGTTAAGAATCATTAACATCCAAAATACATTTTCCTTTTACAAATGGTTGTTTATAGCTGAAAAAGATTCTTTAAATAGTTATTAAGTTATTCAAAGAACTATTCACTAAAAGGTTCTTTTATGACAGTGTTAAAACCTAGGAAGCTTTGTAAAAAAGAAAATGGTAAAAACATTTGCTTTAAAAAGCTTGTTAAGCTAAATTTGCTTTATTTTAAACAATTCAATTACATTTGTTTATTTAAAAGACACTTTTATGTTTTACACGAATTACTTGCAATTGAGTAATACTGTAATAAGTAAAAAAAGTAACACTTTAATTTAAGTATATTCACATAATTTACTTAATTTATTTGTTTATTACCTGTCTATTATTAAGATTTAGTTTAATATACTATATTGATAACTGTTTATTAGCACTTATAAAGTATGATTTTATTTTACATTCCTAATCCCCAATACCTAAACCCAACTTACTAATCATAATAAGCAACTAATTATATTGAGCTAAGAGACTTAGTTAATGGTTTGTTAATGGTCTGTTAATAGCTTGAATTGTACATTACAATAGAGTGTGACCTAAACAAACTAATTTTAACCACTATCTATAGTTTTATATGATATATTGATAACAGTTTATTAGCACATAAAGTATGGTTTTATTTTACATACCTAATCCCCAATACCTAAACCCAACTACTACCTTACTAATCATAATGAGCAACTAATTATATTGAGCTAAGAGTCTTAGTTAAAGGTTTGTTAATGGTCTGTTAATAGCTTGAATTGTACATTACAATAAAGTGTGACCTAAACAAACTAATTTTAACCACAATCTAGTTGAAGTCCGTCTTGGACAGGGATGTTAAATTAATAAACTGCAAAAGATAGAAAATGAAATAAATGAGAAATTCAAAAAACCCTAGCACTGAGAGAAATGTGAAGGTAAAAGAGGTCAAACAAAACTGAAAACGAAATCCTTCAAAAAAATAAAAAATAAAAAAAGGAAGAAGAAGAAGAAGAAGAAGAAGAAGAAAGAAAATCAAAGACTTACAAACAGACCTTTCAGAAACCTGAGTCAAATCACCCATTAAAGTATGTTGCTATAGAGAAAAGCATTTTTCTAAAGCCCATTGCCTAGAGAGAATGAAAATGACATGTAGCAGGTTTTTAATTTTCTGTTAGCTCAACTCTGTATTTAGGGATGGGGACACAAGGCCAGTGAGGTCTGTTTGATATTGCCTTCTCGGATGTATTTAAGATCCATTACCCTGTAGCTCGGATTAACAGACACACCCCTCGGTTCTTTTGTGTGTGTAAATGTGTGTTTGTGTGTTCGCCTTCTGAAGCAATCAGTATGTTAATATGACAGATTGACTGGATTACCACCTAGACTTCTGCACTGAAATGATGATAAGATACTGAATTATAATGAATATATACAGTGCAAGAATGAAAGAAAATTGGTATCCAAAAGTCTAAGCCCACCAAGGAGGTCCAGCTCACCACCCACTGTGCCACAAAAAAAATACACTAATACAAACTGACACGTACATACAAATACAAACTTTAAAGAGGGTCATGTGCAGTTCTTTAGGTGACCACCAGGGGCAGATATGTTAAAAAGGAGAGAAGAGACTGCATAATGGTAACCTTCAGGTCAAATACACACACATCCTTGAATCCAAATATTCCTTAATCTACACCTTACAGAATCAGAATCAAGTTAATTTCCAGTTACTGTGGACATGTCCGAGTAACGTTTTGGTTAAATATGGGCTAAACTCAACCACTAGGTGAATTAAAATACAATAATTCAAATCAGACGTTCACAACTCTCTGAGTTACAAGTTATGTCTCAAGTTTTTTTGTTCTATTTAGTAACATTTTTTTCGGCTAATTGCAATTAACAGTGCATGAGGCTAAATCAGGTTTTAAATATTAAAATGAATTACTACTCTTATAAAGCACACAAGCCTTTACTGAATTACTGAAATAAAAAAAATCAATTCTCAAATAAAAGTCCCTATAAATAAAAGTATATTCAATATGAAGTTTATATAAATTAAACATATCATTCAGAAAATATTAAAGATTTTTTTGTAATTTTGTTCCATCATCAGATCTACTTATAACTCTAAATTCGATCCAATGTTCTGTTAAATCAACTTGGCATTTTTAAATAATAATAATAATAATAATAAGAATAATTTAAAATAATAATAAAACATAATGGGGTAAACAACTGTTAAGTAAGAAATTTGAAATATATAAAATACGGGTAAAAAATATCGAAAATATAAAATAAAAAATAATAAAATAAAATGTAAACATTAACTGCACATTTGTGAAGAATTTGTAAAAGTGCACTGTGAAAACAATCCGTAATTTGCCATTTTTTCTTCTGGCAGCTGGGGTGAACATAACGTAAAGCGTAAAATGATGGAAAAGAAGTAAAATGATGGTTGTTAAATTAATGATATTACTGAAATTTATTGTAAAATAATAGACCCACACACCATAATGGGACAGCAAAGTGTTTTTTTTTTTTTTCAGTTTATGTATTAAGTAAGATCTGTTCTGTTTGTTTTTTGTTTTTGCTGTGTGTGTCTGCAGGGCATGGAGGGGTGAATCAGCTGGGTGGGGTGTTTGTAAATGGGCGGCCGTTGCCTGATGTGGTGAGGCAGAGGATAGTAGAGCTGGCCCATCAGGGTGTTCGCCCGTGTGACATCTCTCGCCAGCTCCGGGTCAGTCACGGTTGCGTCAGCAAGATACTGGGCAGGTAAGTTATGAGTAATATGAAGCAAAAACATGCTAAAACTCATGCCACTAGCAAAAGTACCATGATACCTGCATGCTTTTCATATGTTCTTTCTATATGTGTATTAGTTTGTGTTAAATAAAGTCATCTTTATTTCTATAGCACTTCATGCAATGCATATTGTGTCAAAGCATTTCATTGTACATGAAAAGTTCAGATGCAAAAACCTATAAATGCCTTCTAAAATGAGCATTTTTCTCAGCCTCCTATGTTTATGTTCAAGTATTTTACTTTAAAGGCAATGAAAAATTAAACTAATTGTTACTATAAAAGTAAGATTTCTGAGCCTACACACAATAGTTGGAGAAAAATGCTAAAATACCAAACAGCATTTAGAGGTTTTTGCATCTAAACGCATTCATTTGGTTATCATTTTTAGTACTGTAGTAGCATTACAGTATTTTTACTTGTGATTCTGTCAATATATTCATGCAGTTTCTGTAAGGATATATTGCATTCAAAGCACTGACATAAATACTCCTGTTATACTTTATGTTTTGTCTCATTATCAGGTGACTAAAATTTCTTACCCACACATATACATTTTTAAGAACTAAAGAACAAAGTGAAATATTATTTTATTCCGTGAGGCCTTTCTCAAGTCTTTAATATCACATGATCTTCCACAAATTATTGTAATAGTTTTATTTTTAATCTTGAAAACAGTTGTGATGCTTAGTAATTGTATGAAAGACACAATAATTAAAAAAAATAGAATTAAAAGATTTAGATTAATAAAAATAAAAATGAATAAACAAATACATATAATATAATATAATATAATATAATATAATATAATATAATATAATATAATATAATATAATATAATATAATATAATATAATATCATATAATATCATATAATATATTAAAAGTTCAGATGCAAAAGCCTGTAAATGCTGTTGGAAATGTTCACCTAAAATGAGCATTTTAATCAGCTTCCTATGTTTATCTTTAGTTGTTTCACTTGAAAGGCAATGAAAAGAACTTACTCGTCACTATATAGAAGTTAAATTACTGAGCCTACACACAGGAGTCAGAGAAAAATGCTAATTGTAGAAGAAAATATTAAATGGCTTTTAGAGGTTTTTGGATCTAAACTCTACACATCTATATATCATCATATATCATCATCATTTATTTAGAGCGTGGTTGCCCAAACCTGCTCCTGGAGGGCCTGTGTCCTACATAGTTTAGATCCAACTTTAATCAGACACACCTGGGCCAGCTAATAATGCTCTTAGTAGGCTTGCTAGAAATGTCCTAGCAAGTGTGTTGAGGCAGAACACCAACCCTCCAGGACCAAGTTTGGGAGCCCCTGATTTAGAGCAAGTGGAAGTTAAGACATTTATAACATTACAAAATATCATGCTGAACAATAGGTTTTCCGTCACATGAATATACGGTTTCAAGATTTACTACAAAATAATAGCTATTTGTAACTAATAGTATTTCACAATAGGAACTTTTCATTGTCCTTTTTACTAAATAAATACAATCTTGGTGAGTATTAGAGACACCTAAACAAAAATGAACATTACAACAGATAAAATGTAGCATTAAAAAAAAAACTTCATGCTGATCTCTTCTTGCTGTACGGTAAATACATCAATAGCATTTCAGTATTTGAGAGTTAGAATGAGTCCTGCAACTATTGGGGAACATGGGAATACATAGTCTGTACCTCTCTTATGTCAGTCTAAAGTTCAAATAACTATTTCTTGAGACATTATTTCCTATAACAATGTATTGATGAAAGAAATTCAGACACCACGGATTAGTTCCCGCACACAGAGTTTGCCTGGTCTCCGGCTGAAAAGGATTTTGAATGGAGAATCTATATCGCCCCATCCTATTTTATCCAGAACCAGGCTTAATCTTTGCCTGGGAAACCAGCTTAATGTCCTTCATTGCATTCAAACAGTGGGGCCAGTATGTGCTTGTGCTCATGCTTTTAAATGCCAATCCTCCTTCCATTCTTTCTTGAAGTCAACTTTTACTTAATCCACGACAAAAACAAATGTCTAAAATGTCTGTACAAACTGATGAATGCTGGCTGTTTGCTTGATATTTTCCCTCTGCCACTGAGGTTTGAATCTGCTTTCTTTGAGATACTTTGAATTTATAACTTCTCATCTATTCTTTCCGCCTTTCTTAGACAAAAAGTGAAAATATTAATGCTTCCTTCTTCAAAAAAGGTTTATATTATAATACTACTATTCAAAAGAATATTTGCAATCATAAATATAAAAAAACATCAACTAAAAGTGAATTTAAATTGTATGCATACTAATAATGTAATTTTTACTGAATGATATTAATACCTTCATTATTTACTTACTCCCAGTGCTGTTTTATATTGAAGTTTATATTGAGCCGCACCATGTTGGTGTTTTGTAATATCATGGGTCGTTAGCCAACCCCCGAGCTGGAGGACTAGGACATACACACATACACTACAGACAATTTAGCTTACCCAATTCACATATAGTGCATGTCTTTGGACTTGTGGGGAAACTGGAGCACTCCCACACGAATACAGGGAGAACATGCAAACTCCACACAGAAATGCTAACTGACCCAGTCGGAGCTCGAACCAATAATCTTCTAGCTGTTTAGTGCCACCGTGCGCCCCTTTATTAATTATTTAATACTAATAATAATGATTCAAGATTGACATATCTGTCTTGTAAATTATTCTTACCGATGTTTTACAAAAGAACAAACTAGAACAGTGCATTACAGCGATTTCAGTTAACCCAGTTTAAGGTGATCTACTGCATTAGTTAAGACCAAACCCACAAACACTTTCTTGAAATCAAAATTCAAATTTTATTTTATTTTAACTCAATGATATTAGATGGCAGAGTGCGTTACAGTCATTTTACCCTGGATAATCTTGTTTTAGGTGATCCACTGCATTAGTTACTACAAAAGTCACAATAACTAAGTCTAATTTTATCTAATTGACGTTAAATATTATTTTCTGAAACACATGTAAGAGGATAAGCTTTAAGCTGATCACTGGCCTTGGCTTGACATTTGAGAAAAAGGCTTTAAATAGACTGAGAAATGTGCCTTTAGCCAGTCAAGCATGTTGTGGATAGATTAAGGGTTTTGTTTGTCAAAAAAAATGATAAATTTGAACAAGGAGATTTGGCCACAAGACACAAATGTTGCAAAGCTTGTTTTAATGTTCATAATAATAATAATATGTTATTATTATTAATGTATGTAATAATACATTTATATAGCACTTTTTTCTGGATACTCAAAGCGGTTTACACATTTTTGGAGGGAATCTCTCCATCCACCACCAGTGAGCAGCATCCACCTGGATGACACGACAGCAGCCATATTGTGCCAGTCCACACCATACACCATACACACCATTCGAATGGTAGAGAGGAGACAGAGTGATGAAGCCAGTTATGATATGGGGATAGTTAAGAGGCCATGATAGACAGAGGTCAGTGAGCAAATTTGGCCAGAATACTTTTTTGAAGAACATCCTGGAATTTTTAACAACCACAGAGAGTCAGGGCCTCGGTTTAATGTCTCATCCCAAAGACGGCGCTTACTGAGAGTCCCTGTCAATATACTGGGGTGTTAGGACCCACACAGACTGCGGGTCGAGCGCCCCCTGCTGGTCTCACTAACACCACTTCCGGCAGCAACCTAGCTTTTCCATGTGGTCTCCCATTCAGGTACTGAATGGGTACAGCCCTGCTTAGCTTCACTGGGCGACCATGTGAGAGTTGCAGAGAGCAATGTTGACCCGATGTGTAGTTACTGCGCTTTTTGCCTTTGGACGGCAGATTGCATTACAGCAAATCTAAACCTGATACCCTTGTTTTAGGTGGCCTACTGCATTAGTAGACAAATCCTACTATAACTTTCTTAAAGTCAAATTTTAATCCATGCTACATATGAATTTCTAAAATCTGTACGCTGATGATTGCTTGACATTTAAGAAAAATTACAGAACCAAGGTCACAAAGCTCGTTTTGGGCCTTAACTCAATGTTGATCAATTACAGAGCTTTTTCTATGGACAGCAGAGTGCATTACAGTAATTTTACCACAGTTAAGCCTTTTTAAGGTGGTCTGCTTCGTCTCAACTGCTTTAGTTAACAGCCATAAGAAGCAATTATTTTACTTAATCCCTAATAAATATCAATTTCTAAAATATCAGTACAAACTGATGAATCCTGGCCGTTCACCAGATATTCTCCCTTTGCCATTGGTTCAGGATGAAGCCTGACTCAGCGCTTCCTTTCAGACATGTTTCAGAAATTCTCAAATCCCAAAGTCAAAGCGGCGTCTATTCTTTCTGCCTTTCTGGGACAAAAAAAAAAAAAAGAAAAAAGAGAAAAGATTCATCACATTTTACATTTGCATCAAAATGACAGTGGCACATACGTCTCTTGATGGCTGGAAGGACAGAGCGAGCAGGAAAGAGAGAAGGAGAGAGGGAGAGGGAGGAAGGGGTTAAGGGGGAGGACAGAATTTGAATGGATAAAGGTGTGGATTAGTGCTAGAGCCTTTAGCTATATCAAAAAAATGTGTTTCCCATTGTTCTCCTTTGCCTCAACCCTCTTCCCCCAGCCCTGGTCCAACTCACTCAACCGTTACTGCGCCACTGTGTGTCTGTGTGTGTGTGTGTGTGTGTGTGGTAATATCTGCCCTCCCTCTTACTACTCAGGCAGAAAACACACTAATATGTGGGCAGCAAGTGAGGTTCGAGTAAATAAGGCGTATGACTAACTGCGCTCTTGTTAATGAGGGAATTTTCTGCATGCTCATTTTGGTGTTCTTCTTATGGCTGTGCCGAATGGACTGTGCCTTTGGTTTATGTTTGTGGGTTTAGTCTTAACTAATGCAGTCAGTCAAGAGAAAAACAGGGTTAAAATGACTGTAATGCAACCTGTAATCAGTCCTTTTGCTTTTTAAACACTGCCTTTTCAATAAAAAACATACATACAATGCAAGAACATTTGTTATAGTTGGGTTTTAAATTTTAGATTTAAAAAATCTCATAAGAAATCTTCATTAATAAATAAATAAATGAATGAATAAATAAATAAATAAATAAATCTGCATTTTTAAGAGTTTATTAACATAAGTTTCTAATGTAAGTGATAGATGACAAATAAGTTGGAAATACTTTTGTTGGTCCATTTGAGTATTAGTAGACTGTCTGCTTAATATCTGCTGATACTGCTTCTTCAACAGACATTTAACTGATTATAAGAAACTTTGCAAGTACATGTCAACTTACACTAACCCTAACCCTAACCCCAAACCTAACAATCTACTTATAATCTAATAGGAAATTAGTTGGCATGTAAATGCAATGTAACAAACGGACCATCAAAATAAAGTGTGACCAATAAGTTAATTAAATGTGTAGTTCTATACATTTATATAAAAAATATAGATAATCAGTTACTCTCCACTTATTCAAAACCCATTTAAATTTCTTTCATTGGTTGAAAGCAAAACAAGATGTTTGAACAGTGTTGGAAACTCAAAGCCATTGACTTCTGTACTATTATTTCCTTCTCCCTATTATGGATGCTTACCAAGCTTCTTGGTGTATTAATATGAAATGAGCAGTCACAGGTATGCATGACTTTGAAGCATTTAGTCTAATCAGTATTTAGATCAGGACTGGTTTTGTAACTGCTGTGTGCATCCCCAGATTATAAGCTTTGATGTTGTTTTATAATATATTTTGGTCCTCATTTGTGATAGTGTCAACATGTTGACTATGTACTGCAACTATGGTTTCTGAAAACTATGTGTTGGTTTTGTGTTTCTGCAAGACATAAGTGCTGTGTGACACAGGATAAACATGAATGATTTGGAAATACATATTTGGAGTTAAAAATGGGAGGAAAAAGTGTTCACTAAAATAATTCTTTATGGTGTATTATTGGAAACATTGTAGTTGTAATGTAATAACGTGCACTCTTTGTAAAGCTGCTTTGGAACAATAGGCATTGTGTGAAATTTAAAAAATTGTAAATTCGGTAAAACTTGTTTTAAAGTATCCTTGTTTCAGTAACAACTGAATGATATTAAAAGGCTATACGCATAAGTATGCAGAAAAACTTTTAATTTTCAGTAACCTGGCTCAAGCGCTGCCAGTGAACTGCATGCCTTACAAAATCAGTGCGTTTAAGGTCTGTTTTCTTTCAAAATCAATAATCTCCACTGCCTAATTGATATACGATATAATGTGGGTCTCAGAATGTGCAATAAGCGCTGCATTAAATCCATTTTTTTCTGATGGCACTAGCGGTAACACAGCTTTACATCTCGTTTTATGCTTGAACAACTAAATGAATGCTGAAGTCTATTTAACTGATTGTATTTTAATTACATTACAACATCGATGCTATAAAAGGAACCGTAGAAAATTGAAAAAAGTCACATTACCTGTTCACCTGAAGTTTATCGGTATGGGAAGAAACACTAGCTGTGCATATACACTGTTTGCATGGTTAGGGTTAAAAAGTCAATTTGGTTTAGGGTTATTTGCATGTTATTGTACATTGTTATTACTATAGTAAGTACATGGAACATGTGTAACAAGGACACTGTTAAATAAAGTGTTAACAAACATACTCTTTGAACAACAAGGTAATAATTTGAACAATAAGATCATCTTTTCACTATATACAGATCAAATATCGTACCGTAACATAATTAACTAAATATTTAAGGACATACATTTTTAAAAGGTAAAAAAAAAAAAACACAATACAATATAACTTTAAATGACTATGTTGGGCGTTTATAAATAAAATACATAAAATATTACCTTGGTCACTGGTTCAAATCTTGGCTGGGTCTGTTGGCATTTCTGTGTGGAGTTTGCATGTTCCCCCTGTGTTCGTGTGGGTTTACTCCGGGTGCTCCGGTTTCTTTCACAGTCCAAAGACATGCAATAGGTGTATTGTATAAACTAAATAGGCTGTAGTGTATGAGTGTGTGCATAAATGTGAGAGTTTATGGGTGTTTTCCGGTTCTGGGTTGTGGGTGAACGGGCATCTGCTGCAAAAACACAGAATAGTTGGCGGTTCATGGCGCTAAAGGGACCCCTGATAAAATTAATGAAGTAAAGAGTGAAAAATTACCTTAAGGTAAAATAATATAAAAATCAATCACACTCGAAATGAAAATGAAAATACACTTACCAATTTGGATAACAAAAATCATGTAAGAAAGCTTTTAACTTCTTGACTGTGAACTGAGCTGAACTGAAAATAATATTTTGTCATAGAACCTGTATAACAAGGATAAATAAATGACAAGTTATCAAAATAACTAAAAATAACAACCATTTGAAAAAAGATAGAATCAAAGACCCACCCTTCTGTCCATCTCTGTTGATCTTGTCTCGTGATATTCAGCCTTCTGTCTGTCTGTCTGTCTCTCTGTCTTCACAGGTATTATGAGACAGGCAGCATCAGGCCAGGGGTAATCGGAGGATCCAAACCAAAGGTTGCTACACCAAAAGTCGTTGACAAAATTGCTGATTACAAACGCCAAAACCCCACCATGTTTGCCTGGGAGATCCGAGACAGACTGCTGGCAGAGAGAGTGTGTGACAATGACAGTGTGCCCAGCGTCAGCTCAATCAACAGGTGTGTAAAACACATCTTCAATACGATTTTAGTGGTTTGAAATGATTTTAAATGTTTTTTTAATGCATGTGTTTGTCTGATTGTTTTATTTTAAAGTCTATTTGTGTACATACAATAACATCCAAAACTTTAGGGGTTGGTGAGAATTGTGTGAATGTTTTTATCTGAAGTGATTTACATTGTGAAACGGATTCATCATAAAGAGACAGTACTCAAAACTCACGAGTGTTACTAAAACAGTTTATTATAAGGTTATTTTAAGCTAGAGCACACAAGGATCAAGAAAAACATTTTTAAAATAATTATATTGCAGACAAGCTATATTTTGTAGACAAACATAATATACAATATGGGTGTTTATGATGTTTCAGATATTCTAAATGTCAAATAAATACTATTCGTGTGACCACTTTGTATGCATCAAAAATCAGGCATTTTCTTTCGAAACATTATTGTAGTTTCTGAAAAACTGTTGTCGACACACATTAAAAAGTTAGATTTAAAAAGTAATGTTTGCATTATTCACAAATTATGCCTTTAATCACACAAAAATCACAGTAAAACAGAAAACTGACTGAAATGTACAATGTTACAAATAACTTTGATTTTAAAATGAAATAATTTTTTTTCATAAATTAATACAACACATTATCATTGTTTCCACACACATACGCACAAAAACGTTAATCAGTATGACTGTCAAGTTCTATAAAAATAAGAACAGTAGAGCTGAATTAACATATTCTGAACTTAAAGCTGAAGTACGGTTTCTGAAAGAGCTTAACGCACTGCAGTTTAAGAAAACACATGCAATTACAAAAAACACCAGCAAACTAAGAAAAGGTCTTCATCGGTTTGACAGAAAACATGTTGAACATCCTCACAACACAAAGATATTATAAAAACATGCTGCAACTTTTTACAACAAATGCAAATATCATAAAGCACAATATTTAAGGGGACCCAAAAACACAACAGACCCAGCTATTTAGGTAATGTTTATTTGAGCCTGATCTCACAAGTAATTATAAATATTTTACGTTTTGTCAGTTTAGTGGCTAAATCATTTGAATTTGTATGAGTTCATTTATTCTTTTTTTTCGGCTTAGTCCTTTTATTAATCCGGGGTCGCCACAGCGGAATGAACCGCCAACTTATCCAGCACGTTTTTACGCAGCGGATGCCCTTCCAGCCGCAACCCATTTCTGGGAAACATCCACACACACACTCATTCACACTCATACACTACGGTCAATTTAGCCTACCCAATTCACATGTACCGCATGTCTTTGGACTGTGGAGGAAAACGGAGCACCCAGAGGAAACCCACGCGAACGCAGAGAGAACATGCAAACTCCACACAGAAACGTCAACTGACCCAAGCGAGGCTCGAACCAGCAACCTTCTTGCTGTGAGGCGACAGCACTACCTACTGCGCCACTGCGTCGCCTCGTACAAGTTCAGCCATTCAAAAAAGTATGACTTTAAAAAGGAGGTGTGGCACCCAACCCCACCCCTTAACCCAACCGTCATTGAGGGATAAGCAAATCGTACTAAATTGTAAAAAAGGTTATAAAATGTTAAAGTAAAATCAAAAAGTTTTGAATTGCCTTGAGATTGTGTTGTTTATTTAGGCTAATAATATACAAAAGACAATGGGAATATTTTTATCAAGGTGTTAAAATGAATATAAAACTCACCTACAACCTCACTAAGCAATAGCCACGGCACCATAAACAAATTCTAGCCAGGTCCGTCGCGATTTTGGGTCCCCATGAAAAGTGTGGGAAAGTTACTTTTAAAAGTAATGCATTACAATATTGAGTTACTACCCCAAAAATAACTAGTTGCATTAGTGCATGGTGCATTGGTGTACTTTTCAGTGTCTTTTGCATTACTTTTTCTGACCTGGCTGAACTGTTTTATAACCTTTTTTTAAATAAAGAAGCTCTGTAATTAGCAATGCACCATATAGCCTATACCATCATTTACCTTAAAAAACACTTAAAAATAAATAATGTAGGATAATCTTATCTTCTGAGAACTTCCTGACCCTTGAACTAAAGGCCATATATACAGATTAATGAAAGTGTAAAGCAATGTCTTTGCTTCTTTTGTACTTTTTTTCTTATTAGTGCAGTAAAATTGTTTCCATTGAGATTATAATCCCCTTTTGCTTTTCTTTGATCCATTTAGAATAATGAAAAAACTGCAGAAAAGTAAGGTTCTGCCATCTTGGGTTCTGCCTGTTCCTGCATTCTCTCATTGAGTGTGCGATTCAAAGTGACAACGTTTATTTTAATTCAGCTATTTATTTTTATAAGTAGAAGCTAATTAATTAAACTAAAAAGTAGCTTGCATTACATTTTTAAAAAAGTAACTATAATAATGTTACTTAATTTTTAAAAGTGATGCCTTACTTTGTTTGTTACTAAGAAAAGTAATAATGCGTTCCTTGTAATGCGTTACCTCCAACATAGCCCATGACACATTTTGACTGTGTCCCGTGCTATTTGCATGTGTTGTGAGAAATTGCAGCTTATTTTCTTAATTTGTTTGCGTTGTGAGAATTTGCAGTGTGTTTTCTTGATGTGTTTGCATTGTGAGGATTTGCAACAAGTTTGCTGTCAAACCGATGAAGATCTTTTCTTAATTTGCTGGTGTTTTTTGTAATTGCATGTGTTTTCTTAAATTGCAGCTTATTAAGCTCTTTGAAGTAATGAAGAGACTACTTGATTTGAACTGACCAGAATAAATTTACATTTAGCAGTTATTAAAACAGAAATTGTATTATAATTCAGAATGTTTCACTGTATTTTCTTTTTTCCAAATAAATGCCAAAATAAATGGTCAAATAAAAGACCTTTTGCCCATTTTTAATGGCTACTGGAAATTCATCTTTGCCATTTAAAAAAAGAGCAAATTAGATTTAAAAATATACTAAAACTTTCAAAAACATAAAGCATGTCTTATACTGAGCCCAAACTTTTGAAGGCTGGAATATGTAATGGAAGCAATACATTTCTGAGAATACATTGATAAGTAGATTAGAAAAGGTATAGAGCAATGCAACGAGAACGGATCCAAAGAATGGAGGAATACAAGAAAACAATAGGAGTGAGTCAGTGGAGTAAAAAGAAACACATATTCATGAGCAGTGTCCAGCTCACTGGTTCAACAGCATGTGTACAATGACAACCTTTCTCATAGAGAGAGAGAGAGAGAGAGAGAGAGTTTGTGTGTGTGTGTGTGTGTGTGAGAGAGAGAGAGAAAGAGAGAGAAAGAGAGAGAGAGAGAGAGAGAGAGAGAGAGAGAGATGAGGGGAAAGGTGCTTTGCTTGAGCAGCCATGCAGGAAGTGTGAGACTCTGCTGCCATGTCAGCCTGCATGAGCCACTTCACACACACACACACACACACACACACACACACACACACACACACACACACACACACACACACACACACACACACACACACACACGTTTGCATACTTTATGTACATTAAAGCATAAGAGAATCCACGCTTACACATAGCACCTGCCATGGTAGACTTTAAACAACACCCTATCATCTAATGTCTGTTGGGTTTTTCTTTGTGACAGAATTATTCGCACTAAAGTCCAGCAACCACCTGGCCAATCAGGAGCCGTTTCTGCGCATAATTTAGGTAAGGGTCAAATTCACCTATAACTCTTTAGAAAGCAACTTTCATCTTTGGTTGAAGTAAAACATACTTGGAGTTTTTACAAAGCTTTTGAAAAACAATATGTGTTTGACATTCATTAATGATTTTTGTGGTTGTGTTCTTTTGTCTGAGATTTTGAGAGTTTTAAAGGGGTGGTCCACTATGATATCATATTTAAAACTTTATGTGTAATGTAGCTGTGTAAACACAAACAACATCTTTGAATTTAATATGCTCAAAGTTCAATGCGAACAGAGAGATTGGCTTTTACAGAGCCACAGAGCGAACGATATTTGGGGACTACAAAAACACATTCTGGTTAGCGAGATCACAAACGCTTCAGGTTACGCAAATCATCCTGTGCAAACAACCCACACATCGAAGGGGAGTGGCCAGAGGTGCTGTAAAGTTACAGCAGAGAAAGCTAAAAATGCCGTACAAACGCTGCTATTTCCACAAAGCTTGTTCTGTGTTTGTATTCGGGCTTCCGAAAGACACAACACAAAGAGAGAAATGCTTACAGTTTAATTTTAATTATGTTCCAGACAATTATAAAAATATATAGCTAGCATTTGACAAAGGACAGCTTCCAGAATCTGCTGAATTCGGCTAAAAACTCCTCAAAAAAGGAGCAGCTCCAACTATAATAGACGAAGCTGTGCACCGTGAGTTAAAGTTTTTTTATTTGTTAAAATTAATCTATTACATGCATTGTTTCTAGCGTTAACAGTATGCTAAAGCAAGGACATAAACAAGGATGTACACAATGGGAAATGCTGTTTGGCACCGTTAACAATTTAGCTACAAATTCATATTTATCCGTCGAACCGATGTAAACACCCACAATCTTCAGCAGCACTGCAGTGTCTCTCTGTGCAGCCGCTTTTTTGTGCGTTCTACATCTTAAATAACAAACTTGCAAAAGATACGTTTCATATTACTCACACATGCTTATAACCCGAATATATGAAAAGACACTTGTCAGAATTTATTTAAGAGAGCAGGCATGAGGTTCAGCTGTTTCGTCTGCGCCATTTTCTGTCTGATTCAGTCACAGACTGACACGGCTAACAGCTACTCTGACTGACAGTGTATTTACAAAGTGCAAAAGTGCATGATTATAGGAGCGTGATGCTTTTCCTGGTGACGTGGAGACGATCATTGAATCACAGCACATTATGTTAGCTGACCAATTAGAGCTTCCTGAGGTCGGGCTTTCGAAGAAACTAGAAAATATGTCAGCCATTTTCATGTTAGCTGAGTAGCTGTATATAATCAAAGTAAGAAATATGAAAAAAATAACCCGATTTTCTACAAAAGAAGCATGAGCACATATTGCTTTGCATCTTATAAACGCAACCAAGCCCTAAAAATACACTCTGGACCACCCCTTTTATTTCTATCTGTCCAGTGTTTGATATCTGATTAATTCTTTCAATCTTGTTTTCTGACCCTCAAAACCCTTTCCTCAATAAGAAAAACAAAGGTGAACCTCTAAAAGTGTTCTGAGATCAGTTTAGGAGGAAAACTCCCGTTGCCAGTTAATAAAGTATTGAACGGCGTTTGTCTCACTGTCAGTAATCTTCATAATCGCACACCTCCGCTTAATCTAAATTAATTTTGCACGCACAAGGCTCGCCAGTTCTCCGTCTCCTTCAGATTATGATGATAAATAGTTCTCATACTCAGGCGGAAAATTGAAATTTAGGGATTTTGAATATAAAGCGCTCGCATCGGGTTTCCATTCCTTGGAAAAAAGTGCGAAAGAATAAGAGAATCAGATAATTGAAATGATAAATCAAGAGTAAAAAACTGAGGGATATGCATTCATTACATTTTCCACCTGGTTAGCAAACGAGAGCGGCGACGTTTATCTTTTCTCAGAGCGATTTGTTTTTCTTCTCCATTTTAGCACAGTCTGTTGGGATGGAGGATTAGCTTCATCTCTACACCTTAGTGTCCCCTTGGGGCCACTGTACTGTCACTCAGGCTGTGCGTCAGCTGACAGGAAGTGAGATAAAGAGGACAGAGAGAATGAAGGCTTGACAGAGAGAAGACTTTGTGGCCTCGTTCGCTGCCGCCAAGACCTCACATGTCGAAAAGCTGTTCGCTTGTTAGCATCTTATCCTTGGGCGGCAGCACATCACCACAATAGAGTGACGGCAGGTTTTACTGAAAGGTCTTTGATGGGGAAAAAACGCAGGGCCAAGAAGAAGGAAATGAAAAACAAACATTTAAGAACATACTACACTTCTGGACATGATATTGTGCCAGGAGCTTTAAGACAAGGATCATGTAAATAACAATGCTGTTGATATAGATTTTCTCATTCCATACGCTCATTAATTTCCTTTGGCTTAGTCCCTTTCTTCATCAAGAGTCACCGCAGTGGAATGAACCGCCAAGTTATCCAACTGTTTTACACAGCGCATACCCTTCCAGCTGCAACCCAGTACCCAGTAACCATACACCCTCACATTCACACACATACATTCATTCATTCGTTCATTCATTCACACACATTTATTCATTCATTCATTCATTCATTTTATTTTCAGCTTATTTAAAAAGGGGCTGCACAGCGGAATTAACTGCCAACTTATCTAGCATATGTTTTAAGCAGCGGATACCCATCCAGCTGCAACCCATCTCTGGGAAACATCCATACACACTCATTTACTACAGACATCTTAGCCTATCCAATTCACCTGTACCGCATGTCTTTGGACTGTGGGGGAAACCTGACAGACACACAGAAATGCCAACTGATCAGTGACGGCCAATTTAGTTTATTCAATTCACTTATAGCGCATGTCTTTGGACTGTGGAGCACCCAGAGGAAACCCATGTGAAATTCACGTGAACATGGCGAGAACATTCAAACTCCACACAGAAATGCCAATTGGCCCAGCCGGGACTTAAACTAGTGACCTTGTTGTTGTGAGGCGACGGTGCTAACCACTGAGCCACTGTGTCTCCGCTCATGATAAAGTTGTGTCACACTAATACTCAACATTTAATTGTTGCTTTTTAGCTTTAAATTTATTTGTCTGAAGCTTTAAAATGTCAGTTGTTTTGGGGAGCTAATGTAAAATATTTAAGTGAAAGTGATATGAAAATAAAGAAAATAATAAAGAAAAGTTTCCCAGTGTTGGATTGCAGCTGGAGGGGCAGTCATCCGCTGTGTAAAACATATAACGGATAAGTTGGCGGTTTATTCCGCTGTGGCGACACCAAATTAATAAAGGGACTTAGCTACAAAAGAAAATGAATGAATGAAAAATAAAGAAAAGAGTATTTTTAAAAAGAAAGCTTAGTTAAAAAGAAGATTTATTGTTTACTTTTTTAAAACACTAATGCGATTTGATGTTTTTAATAATGTTGATACCCAAATGTTTTTTTTTTTTTTTTTTTTTTTTTACCTCTGAGCAATTCCAGTGTTATGGATGTGACATTTTCAATAAAAACTTGAAACATAAATTCACAGAGAAAGTATACAGTTGAAGTCAGAAGTTTTAGCCCCCCTTTGATTTTTTTCTTTTTTAAATATTACCTAAATGATGTTTAACAGAGCAAGGACATTTTCACAGTATGTCTGATAATATTTTTTTTCTTGTGGAGAAAGTCTTATTTGTTTTATTTCGGCTAGAATAAAGGCAGTTTTAAATAATAATAATAATAATAATAATAAAACTACAAAATAAAATTTTATGTCCACAAACTGGACTCCTGTGGTGTTTGAAGCATCCATGTAAATAGATGTACTATGCGCTGTAGTGATTTCAGCAGTCTTTTCTTTATTACAAAACTGCACTGTTTTAAAAAACGTTTTAAACTTGTGAACTGCATTTTTGAGGTGCAGATGATCACAGAAAATTGGAACAGATCTTTTAATCCCAGTTTCTTTGCAAATCCTGTTCTGTGGACATATTTATATGGCATATGTCTACATGTCAACCAATTCCATAGGCGGTGAAAACTGCACTCCTAGGTCACGTTGTGGTGGGCCTCAAAGTCACTAGGATTTGGATCCCATTTTTATAGGAAATTCATAAAAAAGATACTTTTTGTGTTTTTTATCACAATCATATGACAGTGGACACACTATACCTATACGGTTCAGTCCAAACAGCCTACAAAAGGTGCCCTTTAATGTTAATGCATGGTAAGTTAACAAACTAACAATGAAAATTTTATTTTCATGAATTAATGTTAACAAAGATTAATAAATACTGTAATTAATTTATTGTTCATAGTTTGTTCATGTTAGTAAATACATCAGCTAATAACAGCAAATGCTACCTTATTGTAAAGTGTTACTATTTAAGTATTTGGATATTTGTAGTCTTATAGTCTCTCTGCATCTTTGTAGCCTCTACCGTGGCAGTGACGCAGGTTTCTGCAGTAACCAGTGATGCCGCAGGCTCCTCCTACTCCATCAGTGGAATTTTGGGCATTAGTTCACCTGCCGATGCCAGCAAGCGGAAGAGGGATGACCGTAAGTCAGCGCATGCTTTGTTTTCAGGAACTGACAAATCTTTACTCCTCCAAACTCCCTCTAAACTTGCTTAACTTAAGTATTATTCATGATGCTGATGCACCAAACATATAGTTTATTTTCATGCTGGACATTCAGAAACTAATGAGACATTCTGTCTACCAGCAATTACAAAACAAAAAATCAATTACATCCTGTATTCAGCCTTCTTCTCCTCTTCTTTCCTATGCACAACACCATCTCATTGCACACACACGCACACAAATGCACACAGAGCACAGATGGAAGTTGCTGAACATTGACAGATGCATGAGAGAAGGAGGGGGATTGGACACCGCTGGCACGTCTTAGATAAACATCTCTATCCAGGGGAGGCACAGCGTGTGCATGTGGATGTGCATGTGTGTGTTTGCACACATGTGTCTATTAAAAAGCCATTGCTTGGCAGACCCCTACAGTACATGAGGGAACTCCAGATGTCACACACAAAATGATATATAAAATGGCAGACATCAACAACGGAAGATTTCTTTTTTTTTTGTTTCATGCCAACACTTTCATTTTGAAGTTTAGTTCTGCCATCATTACTCTTGATGTGTTTTATCTTGGCAGCAAAGATCTGCTATGCTGTTGCTGCTGCGGCTTTGATTATTGTGCAGAGCAAATACCAAGACTACTGCCAGTATATTCAGAGACATGTTTTCTGAGAATATAATGCACTTTTGCTGCAAACATAAAGTACAAGTAACCCCCTGGTGGATCTAAATACAGGTGGAGCTGGGGTGGAAGAGGGATCTGAAAACACACTGGCCATAGCTGCGCTAGCTTTACTGAAATGGTCACACTGCACTTTTCATCCCACAAAGCAAGCTTGTGCAAAAAGTGTCGCTTCATTCCAAAGTTTAAGCTTTGTGAGCCTTTACTTAAGATATCGCATCACGTGTTTGCATAAGACTAATAGAAGATCAAAACAGAGCTCTTTATCGATGTCTAATTATCTTGTTTTATCCTGACCATTTTCGCAGACCTGTTTAATAGAATTTCACATGCTCAAACTCTAGAGTGATCGTAGCTTAAGCATTTAAAATGATGAGGAGCAAACTCATTGGCTGGTGAAGCAACAGCAATCAATCATCTGCGCCATGCATGTAGTTAATAATAAAGAAGCTGATTAGATATACCCTGATGCACACTGGGATGCACACTGGGTAAACTAGAGTTTAATGACAGAACTTTAATGTGATGTAATGTAAATATATATTTAAAAAACAATGATATACAAGGCAAGGCAGTGGCCCAGTAGGTAGTGCTGTCACCTCACAGCAAGAAGGTCGCTGGGTCGCTGGTTTGAACCTCGGCTCAGTTGGCGTTTCTGTGTGGAGTTTGCATGTTCTCCCTGCCTTCGCGTGGGTTTTCTCTGGGTGCTCTGGTTTCCCCCACAGTCCAAAGACATGTACAGGTGAATTGGGTAGGCTAAATTGTCCGTAGTGTATGAGCATGTGTGTGTGGATGTTTCCCAGAGATGGGTTGCGGCTGGAAGGGCATCCGCTGCGTAAAAACCTGCTGGATAAGTTGGCGGTTCATTTCGCTGTGGCGACCCCGGATTAATAAAGAGACTAAGCCAACAAGAAAATGAATGAATGAATGAATGATATACAATATGTTTTTTATGCTATGTACTTAAGCTCTGTTAAAAACTGTTTAATAAATTGATTCCTTGCCAATTCTGAGATTTTCAAAATGCATTGCTATTCTTTCTCAATTCTGAGCTTAGTTTTTACCTGCAGATGGTACAGCCGTACTCTGCTTGCATCCAATTCTTTACACGTACCACTTGAACCTAAAATAATGATCATTAAAGCCGACAACTGAATGCACAAAATGATTCTTTGTTGTGAATGTTTGAGATTACAGTTAAGAAAAATAGCCTAGCAGCATATGCTGTTAAACACTAAGCTCAGAATCGACTCAACAGAGAATAGCAATGCATTTTGAAAATCTAAGAATCAACGCAGAATTAATTTCTCAAACTATTTTTCATCACATTTGTTGGGTGTTAGCAGACCACTGTAATCCACACATGTGGGTCCACACATGACCTGTGCTTTCATCACGGGGTAATGAACACAAAACCTTCGTTGTGGCAAATTTATAAACGCAACAATGAAGACCCATGCCTTTGAAAAATTCTTCTTCTACTTGTAAGAAATACGATTGGCAACACAATGTGAAGTCTCTCTGAACACTGTAACAGGTAAAAGGAGTTTTCAAAGCTATGTCATGCATATTAATGAAGTTGCATCTTGTTCACAATAGAGTGCGCTAATTGGTTCGAACCAAGTTTTTCTCATGTATTAACGAACAGATGTGCTGAAAACTCAAATGACGTCACTTTATACTGGCTGGTACAGACTTCCAGTCTCCACACTGGTGCTAAAATAATCATCATTAAAGCCAACAACCAAATGCGCAATCGCTCTTTGTCGTGCATGTTTGAGATTACAGTTTAAAAAAAAAATAGCCTACCACCATATGCTGTTAAACACTAAGCTCAGATTCGATTCAACAGCAAATATCGGTGCATTTTGAAAATCTAAGAATCAACGCAAAATTGATTCCTCAATTTATTTTTCATCACAGCTCTCGAAAACTTTCAAGTATAAATTAAATATATTGATTTTAAATATTGACCCCAACTGTGGAGCTTGTCCATTATTGACCCAAATTTTTGTGAAACAACCTAACATGCAATATGTAAGGTGTAAAGTACAGAATAGGGTATATGCACAACATTGATGTTGCAATGTAATTGAAATATAATCAGTCATACAATTAATGAAAAGCCATTTACATGCCTTAAGTGAAAATATTGAAAATACTGGAGTAAAATAAATGTTCATAAGACGTCAATAAGACATGGCGCAAAAAATGGAATTTAATGCAGTGCTTCTTGTACATTCTGGGACCCACTTTATATTGTATATCAATCAGGCAGTGAAGATTGTTTATTTTTAAAGAAAACAGACCTTAAACGCTGTGATTTTGTAACGGCATACAGTAACCCGGAAGTGCTTTAACAGGGCTGCTCAAAAGTCCTTCTGCATATGCCCTATTAACCCGGCAGACTTATTAGAAGCCCAATGCAAAAACAACCGTCTTGATGTACTTTATCCTGCTTATTACACAGCTAATTGCAACAAAATGTAAAAATTAGGCACAAAGCATTGTTCTGAGTTGCTATAGTTTATTAATTATTTAATTAAAGTCAATGCTGACAGAAACTAAAATGGCTGAGTGGAGCATACACTACCCAACATATTATTCAATCACAAGATGGGGCCAAACAGTCAAAAACAGCAGTGTAACAGAGATCTGTCGATCTAAAATGTATGATTTTAAAGAGGAGAGAGGTTGCCATGCAAATCTGCCCCCAAACCCAACTGTTTTTGGAGGATGAGCAAATTGTACTAAATTGTATGATTGAGATCGTACAAACTCCTACGAATTAGCAACTAAATTAGCCACTAAACAAAAAAGTTGCCGTGGAATGTGTTGGGAAAACTCACTTCTTACTGGTCAGTCACAATGTTCGAAGACATGTTATCCATTATATGTTATTAGACTCATTCGGGAACTTCAAATCACCTTTACCATCTCTTAAAATGTTCTCATCCAAATATTTGCAACCACATTCATTTGTATATGCTTGTCTGTCATGGTGCTGTTTTTGACGCCGTCTTTGTCTTGCGAATAAATAATAGGTAGGTTAGTATCATTCATTTATTTCATTTCTGCTTTGGGTTTTTGACCTTTTGGTGCTATCATGTGATACATCCAGGAAGGTTGTTTTTACAGAATAAAGTCCTTTAGTCTTATACAACATCCTGTATGGCTTTATTCTGCTATAACAACCTCCTAAATGTAATTTATCCCTCTTACATACCTTAGAACGCCATGACTGACTGATCAAAATCAAGTATTCCAGAAAGCTGTGCAATAAAATTTAATAACATTTGAGATGAAATGATGAAACTGCATAAACTATGGATGCCGTGAAACATAATGTAACTTTAGTAAACTGACTTCTGGCTTAGCTGAACGCACATACACACACACACATACACACATCAACGTTCATCCAAGCTCCAATTAGGCCGACGTCTGCCATTTTAATTAATGCAACATATCACATCCAGCAGGGAGGGAGGGGCGGCTAAATGAATTTGTGTGTTTAATTGACATGGTGAAACTGCGGGTGGTCAGTGCTGTGAAGTTTAGCAGTGTGCGAGCGAGTGTGTGTACGCACTCTCTAAGTGAGAGACGCTCTCGTGGGTTTGCTTAAGGCATAAAGTAACATGTGCAATAGTTTTGGCAGTTTGTAGCTTATGCTGCTTGCAGATTTTAAAGAGCATAAGACACATGCTAAAGGGATAGTTGCAAGCAAAAATTACAATTTGCTGTTAATTCACACACCCTCAGGCCATGCAAGATGTAGGAGCATTTTTAGTAGAATAATAAATCAGATTTTTAGATGTAACCACGTGGCTTTGGTGCCTAATATTACACAAGTTAACAATTTGTTATTAACATTGATTCAAAAAACCCAACAAAATCAATCCTCTGTACACTCAGTTCTTGTGAAGTGATCCCGCTGTACAACTGAATATTATTTGCAATATTTTACCTTTACAGGTCAGCCTTGAGCTGCTGTTTGTTTACAAGTGAGGAGTATGCATCTGCTGTGTTGTTCATCAAAGTGATTTTTGCTTATACACCTCCTGTATGATGCAACCAATACAAAAGTGTAGTAAACAAACAGGATGAGCTCATGAGATTGCTGCCTCTTTTATATCATTTTGCGAAAGGAAACAAAAGCTCCAGACTGTCATAAACCCACTTACAAATTTTTTTTAATGTACCAATTAATAAGGTTTTTCTGCACCACTTCAGCAGCAGTGCTGAAGAAATATTTTATGCGAGTAAATGTAAGATTTCTGTTT